CCTTGTGAAGTTGACAAACCTACTGCTAGAATTTGACAAAAATTTCAGAGGTTGTGTTCACGCTTACTGTTGTTTCCACAGTGGAGCAATTCTCCCCCATAATAGTCAGGTTTAGAGTTTTTTTCAGGTTAAATTATTACCTATTCACCCGCATCTCCTTCTTTCCACACAACATACCGGAATGGGTTATTCTGTATGCCTTTTCAGCAAAAAAGAAAATACGAAAGTAATTGCTGCATCTCATACTGCACAACAGGGTAAAGAGGTTGGTTTGCATATGACATTTTTACATCTCTTTTACCTAACTGTCTTAAGACATCTGATACCATGATATTGGTCATGGCAGCAAAGGCTAGGGAACTCTACTTCTAGGTGAAACTTGAAAAACCAGAAATAGTGCCAGTTCATGCAGCAAACCAATGGGAAAGTGTTAGTAAAGAGTAGCTAGAGAGAAACTCAAAGGCTGCAAAAGCCTCAACATACCACTTGAGAAGTAAGTCTCACTGAACACTGTGAAGCTCATTTCTGAGTAAATAGAGAAAAAACGTTGTCTGATCATAAGTCCAAACCATGGGAGTCCAAACCATTGTCTATTGTCAATCAAAATGGAAGATGCAAGGACTGCTAATATGAGATCTCAGTCCTGAAAGAATTTATGTACAGTACTTAATAATTGTAATGAATACGGCTACTGATATGAAGAATGTTAAACTAGTTGTGCAAGCTGTGTAAGCATTTCATAAGCTGAAGCCTCAACATACTAAACACTTCTCCTTGACCAAGATTTTTTAGGTAGGAAATGGCAATAAAAAGCTAAAAGAAACAGAAGACAAGAAACTAAAACCAAAATGGCATGGATTAATTTAAATTTGACAGTGTCCATAACCTCCACTAGGAAAGGCAGAAAGGAAGGTGAAATCTGACGTGTGTATATATCAGCTAGAATGTCTAAGACTCAAATGGAAGACCAAATTCCCACAACAATATGTTGCCACCATCAACCTCTGTGGCAATCTGTAGTGTACCAATGAAAATAAAAGCCATTGGAGCTTTAAAATTGGTTCAAGAAAAGCAATAGAGGGTGGAGATAGTAGAAAGGGGATTATGTTTTCCTTCCATTCACACACAGTTAGGTTTAATTCTACACTGAAGGGGAGGGGAATAAATGCCTCTCCAGATGTTGCTGGACTGCAAACCCCTTGATCTCTAGCCACCACAGATGAAGGACAATGAACGTTGCAGTCCAACAACATTTGGAGGATCATATATACCCATGCTAAGGAATGAGAACTGAAGAGCTCCATAGAATAGGTAGTATTTGGGCAAAATTTGGTAAGAGAAAGAGGTGGTTGCACTTGAGCAAGATCAAGGCATAACGAACAGGAGAGAGATGGTTAAGGCAACAAGAAATCTTTTGACAGATGAGACTTGTGGATCTGAGGAAGACAAAGTCATGGGACCAACAATATTGGCATTGGACTATGAAGGATAAAATCATAAAGTATATTGAAGACCCAGAATAAGCAGAATGAGCAGCTAAACAGATGAATGGTTTTATTGGCAAAGTTTAGGGTAGATGAGAAAGGTACAACATGAAAAATAAAGCATATTGCTCTTTGAACTGAAACCAAACCAGAACCTACAGTTAATATTTTACATACCTCCATTTTACTAGCCGAAATACTAACAAAATAAATGCTTAGACTTGGAATGTAGCAATACAGCAACCAAACCTGTGAGGCCTCACACTGGGCTCATGAGAAAAACCAAGATGTGGTAACTCTGCAAAAGCATGAAATAGTATTTCCATGCCAGCAACAAAACTGCAGCATAGCAGTTTTATACAAAGCAGGGTGCAGAAAGGTTAAATGAGGGCACAGTGGTAAATGACTTACCAATGTGACAACTCAAAGACATGGCTGCTGTGGAGCTAGTTTCTTGTGTACAGCAACAACATACAGCACCTAAAATTTAAAAGCTAGAGTTTGTTTTATTTCTGAGGAAGTGGGCTGTGTCCACGAAAGCTCACATTAAAATATAGCAGTTAGTCTTTAAGGTGCCACCATGTTAATGGCTTCTTTATTTTTTTTTTCTTTTGTTTTGTTCCTCGTCTAATTTCTTCCATTTTTTTGTTTTGTTCCTCGTCTAATTTCTTCCTCCATTTACAACTGATATGTGGGGTAGCTTTGCCTATCTGGTTTCCTTTCTTTGACACTAAAAGCATATTAAGAATCTATTCACTTTCCCTCTCCCCAATGGATCTGCCTGACCTCAACACAAGAGTAAACTTTATCACCTCTTGGTTACACTAGGAATGTTCGCTTGGAAAAAAATTCACAATGATCTGCTACACTATAGCACCCGTGTCACACTGTTGTAATTGAAAGAGTTATCACAAACTGTGACCCAATTCCCCGTTTCCATTTTTGTGCAGATTCATACATGGGAATCATACTAGTGCACTTCACTCCCATCCCCCAAACCAGTGTTGGAAATGGCTAGAACCACCTTCCAGTGAATAAGCACACTGGCAAATAATACTAATACTACTAATAATAATACTTTGAACAAGCACACTGGCAAATAATACTACTACTACTACTAATAATACTGTAACAACAACAACAACAACAACCTAGGTGCAGATAGGGTTCATTTTCACATCTATCTGTGTCCTCACAAACAGTACAAATACATATATATCTAATCCATATACTGTATATTTATCACCTGGGAATGAATCTTGAAATGGGTACTCAGATCTCCCCAATTCTATCACCATAAAAAACTACTGTACTTTAAAACAGTTATTGTTTAGAAATAAGTAGCTTCACAACTACCCCAATCACTACTTCTGACTTCAATACATTTTACATACCAAGATGCCATTCTATGCTATTGCACTTAAAAATATAAACATCTACTTAAGGAAAAACAGAAATCTAATTTTAAATCATATTTACATCAAGTCATGCACCACCCTGCAATTTACATCACGTTAACCACTCAGAAGCTAGAATCTACACATTGTAATACCTGGAGAAAAACAGCAATTTGGGCAAAAGCCATAATGCACAACATAATCCCAGTAAAAATGCAATTTAGGCAAAAATCTTAAACACATTTACTTGGGAGTAGCCCCAGCAGAACACAGTGGGAGTGTTCATCTGAGAAAAAAGTCACAGAATGGCTTGGGCAAACTGCTGGGGGTTTAACATCAACCACCAAAAAAACTATAGTGCTTCATAATTACTGCATTTAAAGAACGACAAATCTTTGATGTCAAGGATAGTACTGTTCATAGGAGGCTCTAATCCTTCAGTGAGTTTTATGAGATTCGATGCATTCTGCTAGGTAGTTTCCTTTCTTTTTAAACAACCATCTTAGAAGCATACAATCTTTACAGCATACTATCTTTACTATCTTTCAACCATTATGGGTTTCCTTCTGCACATTCACAGGCACAAGTACACTGCTTACATGTACTCTTAGCAGTGCTGCATTACAGAATCATCACCACACCCTCTTTTCCAAGGAAGGGGGGGGAAGAGTAAAGATTTGCCCATTTGTCCTTGAGCCCTAGAAACCGAGATGCCGAACAACCTGTTCGAGGTACCACCCAACCTATCTACCTTTTCTCTTGCTACTATCATGTTCACCCACAGCGAAACATGTTTAAATTAAATAAATTATTCACTACTGTTTGATGGATGCTTTCCACTTTTACCAAGCACAAGAACCTGAGTATGAAAAAGATTTTCTTCCCTTTCACCTGGCAGCAATTTTTAAGAGCATCAAAATCCTTGCAAGGAAGCCAGTACTGTAGTAAGTGCTGAGCAAATCTGGCAACACCAGCCACTAAAAATAAAAGATCATTTAAAAAAAGAAAAAAGAAAAAACAGGGAAGAGCCAGCCACTAAAAATAAAAGATCATTTTTTAAAAAAAGGAAAAAAAAAACAGGGAAGAGGAGACAACATAAAATGGCAAGGCGGTCTTTACCACATTTCCCCTGCTTTAATACAAGAAAAAAACCCCGAAGTCCTAATTTTCTTCCTGCTATCTGAGTGGGAAGGAACTGAGTGAAGAACAGACTCTTCATGCTTTACTTGATAATTAACCAATCACAGGATTTACAGATGAGGCAACCCATCCTGGCTTTTTTTTTTAACAACAAAAAAATTAAGCTTCTGCAAACGGAACAGAACGATCAATGTGGTCTCGCTTTCCGCTGAAGGCGGCAGAGGTGCACCCCCCCACACACACACACACGTTGTCGGTTCTATACCAGTGTGAGACCTTTTTGTTTGTTTGTTTTGCTCCTTATCAATAATATTACTGGCTAGTTCAGCAACAGCACCCGCACACGGGCAGCATCAACCGGCGCTTCCTATCTCCGATGCTTTCCCTGCTGCTGCTGCTGCTGCACGGCTCTCCTCGTTATGGCCCGGTTATTCCTCGTTCAGCACCCCCTCAGCGCCATGGAGGCAGAGACACGGGTTAAAACACAGGCGCACGTGCGAAAAGCCTAGCTCTGGGTTCAGAACAAGAGACCTAGAGCGGCAGCGGGCAGGGAGACCCCAGAGCTATTTGGAACAAGAGCCACCAGGGAGGCCCTCGGACGCCACTCCGCCGTGGACTGAAGGGATCCCTTCCTCCCTCCGTCCCTCTCCACCGGAGCACCTTATTTCGGGAGGTGCCGATGCCTGCGGCC